TTGTTGTTTTGTTGTTACGGTGGAGGATGTGGGCAATGATAAGTAGCGACATCATCTGAAAGCACATTTTTCCTATTCGTCGCAGTTATTTCAGCCCGATGCATAGGACAGACTGCTGAGAAGGGAGAGTCTTGACTCCCGTGAGTAGTAGAAAATACTTACCTATAGTATCACTTTAAAAAAGGAACTCTTACATGATAAAATTCCTATGACTTTTATGCATTTTTTTAAAAAAGGATTTGCTATTATATTTTTAAATAGCAATTGACCCTTGTAAAACATGGCTTTGAACTGTACAGGTCTACTTAGATGTGGATATTTTTCTTTTTTTTTTTTTTTTAAGTTAGGTTTTTGCTATAGGGCTTGTACACCTGCCAGAAAGAGAGAGACAGAAAGTGAGAAGTCACCCCACCCCCCCCGTGGGGATGGCCACGCCAAAATCTCTTCTCCATTCTCCTCTTAGGATCTTGGGCACGCATGCACACGCACCTGGCGTGAGTTAAGCCACCAGGTTTGGGACTCGAACCACGGTTGACAATGTAAGAGTCCAGTGACATAACCATTACGCCATCTGCTGGTCCCAGATGTGGATGTTTTTCAATAAATACTACAAATGTATTTCTTTTATTATTTTCTTAACATTTCTTTAGCTTAATCGTAAGAGTATATATTAATAATACATGTACAAGATGTGTATTAGTTTATATGTCATGTAAGCTTCCTTTGCAACAGTAGGCTATTAGTAGTTAAATTTTGGAGAAGTCAAAGTTCTACGTAGATTTTTGTGTGAGGGTGGCGAGGGATGTTGGTGCCCCAAACACCGCTGTTCAAAGGTCTACAGTAACTTGCTGTCCACTAGTTCTAAACATTAGGCTTCATCTGGGAAGTGTTCCGTTAATAAACAGAAATATTTTTTTAAGGATTATTTTATTGAATTTTATTTATTTTAATTCGACCAGAGAGTGATGGTGAGAGAGAGAGAGGGAAAGTGAGAAAGCAAGCCACCAGGTTTGGGACTTGAACTGTGGTTGGCCATGTGGGAGTCCAGCGTCCTTAACCACTATACCCTCTGCCGGCCCCAGTAAACAGAAGTCTTAGTGGGGCTTAAATGAATAAATAATGATCCAAGCGTAGCTCAGAATGCCTGTTACTCCACTGGTCAGGCAACCTTTATTACCCTGAACACCAGACATGGACCCAGAAATAATCAGCAGCTGGCTTGGGGCACAGAAAAAAACATTTTATAAATCTCTCAAGTGTGAAGCCCTCCACCATGGAGGACCATTAGCTAAGTTTAGAATTGACTTTATTTAAAAATATTTTAGAGGTTTTTGCCATAGTTGCATGTGCTCACCAGAGAGACAGAGACAGTGAGAGAGAAAATGAGAATTCGCCTCCCAGTAGGAATGGTCATGCTGCAATCCCTTCTCCTCCATTCTCCTGGGATCTTGGGTATGTGTGCCCAGCGTGACTTTCAAGATGCTGGGTCTAGCAGTTAGTGTAATGGCTATGTCGCTTGACTCCCATGTAGTCTACCACGGTTTGAGTCCCGGACCCGGTGGCGTAAACTCATGCCGGGCATGTGTGCGTGCATGCCCAAGCTCCCGAGAGGAGAATGGAGGGGAAGGGATTGCGGTGTGGCCATCCCCCCTGGGGGAGTGATTTCTCGCTTTCTGTCTCTATGTCTCTATCTGGTGAGCGCATGTGCCCTATAGCAAAAACCTTTCAAAAAAAAAAAAAAAGAAAAGAAAAAAGATGATGAGTTTGGGGCTCAAACCGCAGTCAGCCATGTGGGAGTCCAGCAATGTAACCACTATGCCGTCTGCTGGCCTTGAAACTGATTTACTAACCATCATTGTTTTGTCATCGTGTCTTCCAAAAGTACAACAGGCAGTGCATCAGAAGTTGGGCCTTGAAAGTGTGTGGGAAGGAGTGGCAGGACTGTGCTACTGACCAGAGAGAGTGCTGTGTGTGTCACTCAGAGCGGACTGGCCAACAACCCTAGGCCTGGATCGGCTTTCTCTTACCTGGAGTGCAGAGAGAGGGCGGTAGGTGCAGCAAAGCCAAGCCAAGGGGCTAAAACCAGGACTTAGTATTTTGTTTTAAAACCTTTTACCATTTAAGGGGTACACTAGATACATGAAGGAATTTTTTTTAACTGAGTTAATTTGGTAGGATTAGAAAATCAAAGAGGTAATATACTCTCTTTCTAGTCATTTCTGTCGCTCTGATAAACTGGTAATAGAAAAATTGTCTGAACTTTATATGAGTTATAAAAGCTGTTACTACATCATCTAGTCTTTTCTAAATATTTGTCTATTGTTTTCCCAACTGGCTTTGAGAAATCGTGAGTTTTTTAGAGTTGGAAGAAAAGCCCACGTACCTTTTACCTAGATCCACCAGTTGTCAGCAGTTGGCACATATTTTTCTTTCTCTTTTTTTTTTAATGTGAGCCTTCTGACAGGGTCTCTCTATGTTGTGATCCTCCTGTCTCTGTCAGGGCTACAGGTGCACACAGCTGTACCAGCCTTCTTTACGGTGGGCTGAGAATCAAACCAGGGCCTGCTGTGTGGCCTCAGCCCACAAGTAGCACCGTCTTAGCTCATGCACCGTGCCTGATCCTTCCTTTCTGTTGGTGTAGGTGTGTATGAATATACTGGTTTTCTTCCTTAAGTTGTAAACATCGTGGCGCTTTATCTAAATTCTTGAAAAAGTAAGAACAGGGATATTTTCCTTCTTAACTACAATACAATTCATTATCATGCTCAAGTCATTTGACAATAAAATTTTCAAATATTTCATCCCTATGCAAATTTTCCAATTATCTTAAAAATGGACTTCAGAATTATTTTTTTTGGTAGACTCAGGATTCAATCAAAAATCCCACATTACATTTAGTCGCCTTTATTCTAAATTCTCTATCTTTTTTGGTAATCTAGGGGTATTCCATAACATTGATATTTTTCAGCTGTTTTGAAAAAGCTACCACCACTTATTTTCTTTTGATGAGCTGCAGGTTAAGGTTTTCGGCCAGAGTGAAACAACTCCATGGGTGTTATTGTGCCCTGAGCATATCATTTTAGGAGGTACATGCTACTTTGTCCCCTTAACCTTGGTCCTTTGGTGGGTGGAGCTTGTGATCCACACACATCTCCACTGTGAAGGATGGCTGTTTGCAACATTCTAACAGTAATCTGTGGGATGGTAGGAGACTGAATATCTTGGTTTCTAAAAACCTTGCAACTGTTGCTCTCATTATTCATTTCAATTAAAATATTTTTTTATTTTAAATACTCTGTACAGCTAATCATACAGTTAATATAATTAGTATTATAAACAGATATCCACTCTACCTTCATGCTATATACCTGTTTATCAAATCTTCAAATCACTCATTCGTTCCAGGTCTTTTTCCTTTCTATTTGAATAACTTTTTGTTGTTGTTGTCGTTCTGTTACTAGGAGTCACCAGGGAGAGAGAGGGCAGTGGTACCCCTGCAAGGGAGTACTTTTTTTGTGGTCATGCCACAATCCCTTCTCCATTTCTCCAGGCTATGGGAAGTAGCAGTAGTTTTTCAAGTCGTTGGGGCAAGGATTCAAAGCGCACAGTCAGCCATGTGGAATCGGACTTCTCTTAACCACCAGACTATGGTATTGTCCTTCCTTTATTTTTAAAAGTGCACTTATTTCTTCCAGGAGCAAGAGCTAGAGAAACAAGTACTTCAACATAGTTCTCGATCTTCTACCTGCCTCTGCTGGCCCCCGCCACAGGCAGGTGTTGCTACGGTTGGATGTCCCCCTGCAATTTATGCGTGAGGACTTGGTTGTATTATAAAGATATCAAGTGAAAAAGTGTCTTTTCATGGTGTCCCAGGTGGGGCCTTGAATGTGGTACTATTATTAGGGCAGGGTGGGGGCCTGAGGGGTGTGATTGAGTTCTGGTAGATATGCAAGAGGAGAAGGAGACCAGAACAGGTAGAAAACTTACAGGAACACTGTTTAAGGTTCTGCCCTCTGTCATTTTGTGATGCCTTTAGACTTTCCACTCACCAGAATGGTGAGTCAAATGAGCCGCTATATCTTTTTTTATTTAAAAAAACTTTTAATTTGATTTTTTTTTTTTAAATTTGACCAAAGAGAGTGAGAGAAGGGGAAAGTGAGAAAGCAAGCTGCCAGCCTCCCCCATGTGAATCCAGTTGTATTACCAACACACCCCCTGCCTGCCCTCTGAACCTGATTTTTTTTTTTTTTTAAAGAAATTGATTCATACAGTTGAGGTTTCTGTGAACTTCCTGGTCCCACTCCTAACCATAGATCCTCCTTTCCATAGATCACTCATGGTCAAGAACTCATTGTTGATCTTTCCCATTTTTTTAAGTGATTTTTGCTATCAGGCACATGTGGTCCAGAGACAGAGACAGAGATACAGAAAGCAAGAAAGCATCCCCTCAAGGGGAGGGGGCACCTGCAATCCATTCTCCGTTCTTCTCAGAGGATATTGGGCACCCATGTACATGTACCGCTCTCCCCCCATGAGTTTCAAGCCCACTCTCTGGGAATTGAACTGCTGTTGTCCATGTGAGAATCCAGCACCTCAACCACTATGCCACCCGATGGCCCCTCCCTTATTTTATACATCCAGTACATATATGTGTGCTCACAGGCATTAAATAGTATTGTTTTGCAGATTGTTAATCTTTATATATGAGTCATACTGCGTAGAACAATTTGCAAGTTACTTTTTTCACTCAACATTATGTTTCCGATTATTCCTCATGGTCACTTATTACTGAGTAGTACAATAGTTACAACATGCCATCATACGAATACCCTAATTTAAACATTGGCAGACTTGTACGCTGTGCAGTATTTCGCAAATGGTGCTGCAAGGGTGACTGTCACACATGTCTCCTTGGGTGAGACACATGACAAGGAAGGGGCTTCTCTGGGTTGGAGAACTAGAAACACAAATCCTGCGTTGAGGGTTAAGAGTCTTTCTCTAGGCGGGGCAAGGTCATGACGACTTGGACTCCGCTGTGCCAGACTCCAGGCCTCTATCCTGACTACAACACACATAATCTCTGTGATGGGTCAACTCGGGTTGCACAGCGCACAGTGGAGCTTCACAAAATACCCTCCTCGCTGTCCTCAGAGTCCGCGTGGGCTCATGTGGCCAGAGCTCCAGGCGGTCCCGCTGCGCACCTAGGGATGGGACCCTGCTTCCTCTCGTCCTTCCGGTCACGCAGCCCTATGCCGGGTTGTGCTGGGAATAATCGAGTCCCTGGCCCGGGCCCTGGCTTTACAGAAGCCGGAGGAGGCTCACTGCTGCCCAGCCAGGCTTGGTCCTTGTTCCTCGCCGCTCCGCCCGTCCAGGCAGTGAGCCGGGCGGTCCGCCAGGTGGCGCTGTGGGCCGTTTCCGGGCGCGGGAGAGGCATGGGAGTGGGGCGGGGCGTGACCCGGAAGCGGACGGCGGGTTCCGCCCCTCGCGCCAGGGGAGGCAGGCTCCCACCGGCCCGCGGAGCTGCAGCCAGCCTTCGCGCCCTCCTCGCCGACATCATGCTCCAGTTCCTGGTGAGTGGAGCTTCCCAGGAGTGGGGCCGCAGCCCCGGGATCTTCCCAGGGGCGCTGGAACCCAGCAAGCCGGCCTGGGCGTGGGTCCCGGCGTCCCGAGACGCCCGCGCCTGGTCACCCGCTGTCGGGTGGCCTGTGGTTTTTTCTTCGCGCCTCCGCCCCGCCATCCCGAAACCTGGAGGTGTGAGAAGGCGCGGACGTTTTCCTGGCGGCTCGTGTGCGGCGCCCCGTGCCACCGTGCAGTGTCCCGGGGGCAGCTCCGTGGGCCGCCGCGGGGCTCAGGGTCCCCTTCTGCGCCCCCTCCCCGTCGCAGACACCGGGCCCGTCCCCGTCCCCGACTACACACCTCCCGGTTGGCGGTTTTGAAACGGAGGGCCCGGAGTAAACCTCGGAAGCCGCCCCTCGAGTTAGAGGCTCAGGGAACCCTCAGACCTACACTTTTCAGACTTCGAGGAGTGAGTCAGACACTGGTATACAACTAGTTTTTCCGAAATCCTCTTTTTTTTTTCTCCCCCGGTGAAAATGAGTATCACCATGAGTAAGCAGATTATTCACGGCTCCTTTTTCGAGTTAAAAACGAATTTTCTGGCAAAACTCAGTGTTTTTCAAATTGCTTAGTGAAGTTTCCAGAACAGATCACCCATCGTTGTCCCAATTGAAAGTTTTTCTTCCAAGTTACTGTGTCCAAAACTTGATGCTTTCTTCTCTAATGCTAATCATAGGCAGGTATTCCTAGTATCTTTTAGGTGGTCAGTGGAGATTTTGGTGCTCTAGAAATAAGATGATTTCCCAGATGCTGTATTCTTTATGAAAGTGATTAAAACACAAAAGAGTGTCCCTTCTGCCCTTTCCGAAGATGATCATTGTTAAATCCAATTAGCCAAGAGAGAGTATCCTTGATATAACCAGCTCAGCTGTCAGGGTCCTGCCTTCTCAGGGTTGCCTCTCTGCCTCTGGGTGTTTCTCCGGTGTCCTAACTAGGTGTTTAGGAGTTAGGTCTGATTACCGTCATTTACTAGGAAGAAACATTTGGTTAAAAGCCTATCAGCGTCCAAGCCTAAGAGGCTGCTACTGAGCTTCCTGATGAAGCTGTTACACATCAATAAACTGGGAGGACATCTCAGTTACAATGAACTTTCTTAGTGCTGCAGAATGGACTTGTTTTTGGAGTAAACATCTGCTGTGTAAGCATGGATTCTGATAGGAGAATTCAGAATTTTCAGCAGAGATTGATGCAGTTTAATGATGAAGTCATTCGTTAAACTCCTAGCTCAGAAAAGGGAACACTGATGTCATGCCCTGGTTGAGAGAAGCAGGTAGTAGCATTACTTTTCACATCAATCTTTTGTCAGATGATTCACTCCATCTTGGAACCTTAGCAAGGCTTTTTGCTTTCCGTCATTTCATCCGTAAAACGGTAGCCATTATGTCTTAGTGCTTAAAATTCTAAACTCCAGGATTAGACTGTTGGATGTGAACTCTGTCTCCATTGTTTTGAAGCTGGGGGAACTGGGCAGGTTATTTACATTTTCTGTGCTTTAGTTTCCATATTTGAAAAATTGGAACTCACTTCAAGGTTTCATTGTGAGGATTGAACATAAGTTAATATATTAAAGTACTTAAAAACAGTAGGACCTGCAATAAAGATTTAGATATTGTTCCGTTTTTTCCTTTATGTGTCAGTTGAACTCCAGTTTAGTTTCCTCTAGAAATGGAGGTTAGCTCCCTCAGAAGGTACGTGATGGGAAAGGTTTGGAAGTGATAGCAGCAGTCATAAGTTAAGCATGTGGCCTGTCATCTCCCAACTTGGAACCCTCCAGGAAGTTTCCTACAGTCGTTCCATGGGACACCATTTGGAAACCACGGCACTCGATTCTGCTGCTTATGCATCCCCTTCATCGTTCATTCCTTCGATTAAAATACTTGCCTGCCATCCCTGATTCAACAACTTGTTTCTGTAAGCCCACTGCCTCTTTTCCCCTTCCTTTTATAGCACTCTCCTAAATTACAGAACAGTTTCACTGCAGTTACTTTAGGAAGCTTTCCAAGGCAAGCCTAGCTGGTGGCTTTGTGCGTGCTGCTGGTGGCTCTGTTACTTTTGTCCTTTATTGCTTTTCTCACCTCTTAAAACCAGCAGCACTTAGTACTTATTTTTTTCTATTTCATTAATTCAGCTATATTATTATTATTTTTTAAAGAATTACTTATTTAATTTTATTTATTCATATATTTTCATTTGACCAGAGAGAGGGAGAGGGGGAGAGAAAGTGAGCAAGAGAGCACGCGCGTGTGAGAGAGTAAGCGAGAAAGCAAGCCACTAAGTCTGGGACTGGAATTATGGTTGGCCATATGGGAGTGTCCAGTGCCTTAACCACCATGCCCCATGCTGGTACCTAATTCAACTAGATTATTAAATTATGTTTCCTTCTGTGTTTTCCTTCTGCTTTTTTATATTCCCTCTTTCTTTGGCACTGGCTGGACAGAGACAGAGGGATAAAGCACCCTCAATGTGGCAATCCCTTTTCCTCCATTTTTCTGCCCTGTCAGGACTTTAGGTACGCGCACACACGTGCCTGGCATGTTTCTCAAGCCTGTCATACTACTGAGTCCGTGACTTGAACTGTACAGTTAGCCATATTGGGTCTGGCTTCCTCAACCACCAGGCTAGCTCAGCAGGTGGGACTCTTAAGTCATCGTATCTTTTTTTTTTTTTTTTTTTTTTTTTGAGAGGTTTTTGCTATAGGGCACGTGTGCTCACTAGAAAGACAAGAGACAGAAAGTGAGAAATCACCCCTCCAGGGGGGATGGCCACACCACAATCCCTTCTCCATTCTCCTCTCGGGATCTTGGGCACGCATGCTCACGCACCCGGCGTGAGTTTAAGCCACCGGGTTTGGGACTGGAACCATGGTCGACTACATGGGAATTAAGCGACATAGCCATTACGCTAACCGCTGGTCCTAAGTCATCGTATCTTTAATATCTCCTCCCTAGGCTTTTGGATTCCTTATCTCAGTATTTTTCAACGCTCTTTCACATTATAACACACCAGGACTATTATTTTTGGAAGAACCACACAGAGTGAGGGTGACAGGTCTGGGCGCACTAGCTGGTCCAAGGGCCAAGGGGTTATATCTTGGCACAGCAGTAGGGAAGCTGCTCTATCTAATCTCTCCTGGTTTTTGCTGTATGTTTTTTTTTCCTGCTCTTGGTTACTGTGTGTTGTTCAAGTCTCAATCTTTGCTCTAGTCTCGAAACCAACCCTTAGGGAATATGTAATGCAGATGCCCTTCACCTGTTTTCCAGCACATCCAAAACTACCTGGATCTCTTAATTTGAAATGTTGACATAATTTGTGATTTATTTCTCTCCTTCAGTATCCATGCCATTTACCTGTTATGTGCCTGACACATGTGATATTTACTTGCCATATAATTTTGGTAAATTAAGTATTTTGTGCCTTAGATTCCCCAACGTAACCTTGGCAGTAATAGAAATAGTAAAGACGTGAGTTAACTAATAGAAAAAAAGTTGGAATGCTACCTTGCCCATAGTAAGCATTCAGTAAATGCTAGTTAACGTTTTAAGCCATTAGGTGTTTGTTACCTTGGGAAAAGATCTCTGTATATTCCTACTGCCAGCTTCAAAGAGCAGTCTTTTTTTTTTTTTAAAGGATATTTATTTAATATTATGTTTTAATTTGACCCAGGGACGAGTGTGTGTGTGTGTGTGCATGTGTGTGAGTGTGAATGTGAAAAAACAAGCCACCTGGTCTGTAACTTGAACCACCACAGTTGGCCATGTGAGAGTCTAGTGCCCCAACCATCATGCCACCTGCTGGCCCCTCACAAAGTAGTCTTTACTCCACCCTCAGACTAGCAACACTAGCTGGTTTTGAATTGAAAGGATCAGTTTAGGTTCTTTAGTCCAGCTAACATGCTGGTGATGCTTAAGTCTCTGCTTCTATGAGGAGCATCTGGTTTATGTCCTGCTCACTTCAGTTACAGCAGACTCGCTATTTCCTGTGGTAACTTCGTTCATTTTGCTCACTGTCTTATGTGGTTCTACTCCTCGATGTTACAGAGCGATTCTGACCTACATGAGACACTTTTCCAAAGCAGGTTCTCTGTCCTTTCCCTTGCCTCCTTTGGTTCTTCTCTCTTGCTGCTGCCAGAAGAATCCTCCAGGATCAATAGCCTTACTCACATGCTCAGAAACTGTCAGTTGGCCCTAGTAAAACTAGTCATAACTAGTTTTACTCAGTTTTCAAGGTTTGCTAATCTATCCCTCGATATAAATCCTGTTTCACTGGGTTGTCGGAAAAGTCATGACATGTTTTTCTATGCAAAAATGCATCACAACTTCTCCAACAACTCAATAGATTGAGTAACTAATCTTACTGATCCCTAACCACACTGCAGACCTTTTTGTGTTCATAGCTTCCCTCATGGTTTCCCTTTATCCTGTTTGTCTTTCCAGCGACTCTTCATGATCCAACTCCTACCTTTTTCCATGAGGCCTTCCTGATAACTGAAGCTCCTGAAATTAATTCCTCTGTGAATGTCTTCACACTGTAATAGTCCCCTTGTATCCATAGTTTTCTTCTCCACAGTTTTACTTTTTGCAGTTTTAGTTATCTGTAGTCAACTGCCATGCAAAAATAGGTTAATTCAGTGCAGTACAATAAGGTATGTTGAGAGAAACCACATTCACATAACTTATTACAGTATATTGCTGTAATTGTTCTATTTTATTACTAGTTATTGTTAATCTCTTACTGTGCCTGATTTATAAATAAAACTTTATCATGTGTATATAGGAAAAACATTATATATGGGTTTCAGTACTATCTGTGGTTTGGGACATCCACGAGGTGTCTCGAATTATGATCCTACTGATTTATTTAGGTCTTACATGTCTTTCATCAATGATTTATCAATCTTTTCACCTTGTATGTTATATTTCTGGATATTTTTAAATTTTGTGTTATTGGAGTGTTT